AACCAGATCAAATGGGATGCAATGTAGTAGGCAGGCATCCAATCTCAGTAAGTAAAATATTAACACAGAAAGTTTAACTTGTAACATTTTAGTAATCTCTTATACAAGGGCTTAATAGCTCCATGTGAAATACAACAATCTTCACTTTCTTCTGAGAACACATTTCTTTCATTTTTATTTTTAGGTCCAAAAGCTAACAACTTTTATTTCTAGTTTTTTAAAAAATTTTTATTAGTGCAACACCATGAGGTACAGTTGTAGACTTACAAATTTTTGTGCTTGGGTTTCAGTTATACAATGATCGAGTACCCATCCCTCCACCAGTGTCCATTCTCCACCAGCAATAATCCCAGTATCGCTCCCACCCCCCCCATCCTCCCCCCCCTGCCCCCCCCCCCCCCAAGCCTCTGTGGCAGGGCACTCTCTTTTGTTCTCTCTCTCCTTTTGGGTGCTGAACACATTTCTTTTAAAGTATAACAAGCAATATAAAATAAATTATTGAGGGCCTTCTATGAAGGCAGGCATCCATGACCTTAGGCAAACTTGTAAGAAAATCCTAACTGGCTGAGTTGTCAGAATGGGGCTTGTTTCCTGAAGCTTCTATGAGAACTTGTGTGTCTGTGTGAGCAGAAGTGGGTGTGAAATGTGCTTCAGAGATCCCAGAGCATCAGGCCAGAAGTAACACCAAAGCAACTTGCGGCAGTGGGTATACACTTGATTTGCATGCAGCTGACCCCAGTTCAAATCCCTGGCACCACCAGAGGTCATGCCTGAGAAGAGCCAGGAAAGGGTCCTGAGGATTGCCGGACATGACCCCAACACCCCTACCCCTCCCCGCAAAAAGAAAAAAAAAAGGAAGTATGTTGAGCCCAATCTTCAAAGAGTAGCATCTCTGAGGAACAACTCTCCAAGTTGTTAGGAACACCAGTATTTCTTAGAGATTTTATAAATCATAAACCCACCCAGAGGGAAATGCTGACTTCAGATTCTTCCCCATGCACCCAAAGCACTCTCTTCCTAATGAACTTATTATTTTCGGTGCTGGATTTCAAGCCCCAGGCCACAGACACGTGAAGCCTGTGCTCCCTGCAATCTTTTCGGCATATGACTCCCATCCCATCACAGTGGCCTGGCTGCCTGAGACAAGAGAGAGGCAGGAGAGCGGAGGGCCTGCTCTGCACAGCCTGGACGCCAGGCAGTTCTGTGGCACAGACAGCAGCAACCAGAGAAGGGCAGCTTCTTCCCTGGGAGCCAGTGTAACTACTCGGAGATCTTTTCCTAAAGGTCGTATTTAAACCACACTACTTCACTCAGGTACTTAAAGGAAGACAAGACTGGAAATTCATCACAGAGCTAAAGCTTTATTGAAGATATTTTACAGTAGACCAAACAAGTAGACAAACACATGCTTTATAAAATATACATTCTCGTGTGTGAGAAAATATAAATAGATAGGAAAGAGCCACAATGAATGTCATGGCTTACAACTCTCCATTTATACCTAATACCAGGGCTGCTCGGAATCACATCTGACCTGGGGGAAAAGGGAGCAGAAGGCAGACTCTCTTGGAGATCAAGAGACCACTACATCCAAAAGAGACCCAAAGGTACTTGACTACCTGATGATCAATCCCTCTTTCAAGACAGTTACCAGGAATAAAGGATCAATTTACTCCTAAAACCTGGTAATAGGCTCAAATCAAACTGTTTTTTCCCTTTTCACACCACCTCTGGGTGGTAATTAGGATTGCTCAAGAAACACTCCACTTACAGCCTGATCAAGTCAAATACACACACACACACACACACACACACACACACACACACACACACACACCCCTTAACAGCTCTCTTAAACACACACACACCCCTCAGTACCCACAAAATATTCAGATAAATTTTGATTGTTTTAAGATTGTAATGTACCTTTTCATTCAGAACTGTTATTTCTGTCAACAAACGAAGCAGCTGTCCAAAAAATATACAGAAGATTAATATTAGTAGATGTAGGTTTAAGTTGCTCTTCAAATTAAAACCAAAACAATAAAACAAACAGCAAAAAAATACACTGCAATGAGCAAGAGGGAAAAAGCTTCTGCCAACAGCACTGAGAAAGAGATCACATAATAGAAAAATGAAACATTACTTTCAGGTTGCCAAAAATCTTAGCAACCTTCTGGAGTCCAACTGTTTCACCATTACCTCGGGAATCCACATCAAGTAGCAAAACAAGAAATGACGGGTGTAGTGTGAAATGACAGTGACTTTGTCTCTGTGGCTCCATTACCTTTCAGCCTGTCTGGATAGTAGAATGATAAGAAAAGTTGTAACACACTTGGGTAAAACAATGGGTAGAAAACTAAGCACAATTTCAACCTCATTCCAGAGAAGTACCACAGAAAACAGGAATAAAAATTAAAAGACAGAAGAGACTTTTACAGTTCTTTTTTGGTAATGATGCTCACAATAGACTTATCCGAAAACACTAGTCAAGTCCTCTTTGGCAAACTAAAGCCCAAAATTCTTTAGTTTAGAAAAATAAATTTCAGGGCTGGAGAGATAGCACAGGGATTATGGTGGTCTGCATGTGGCAGACCCCAACTCAATCTTTGGTAGCGCAAACAGTTCCTCAACCACCACTTGGCAGGGGTCACTCCTGAGCATAGGGCCAGGAGCAGTCCCCAGCAATACCAGCTGTGGACCAAATGTCCCCCACCCAAATAAATATTCTCAAATGTTCTCCACTTACGAATACAGAAAGGATTCAAGAGGATAAACTTTTAAGAATCTCAAATTGCTTATGAAAAATTGACGGTAATAAACAGGAAAGAAACCTTAAAGTCATTTTGTTCGTATTCCATCTCAATGAAAAAATATTTCCAGTGCTATTAAACCAATGACTATTTAGCTTCTGCACATACTTTCCCCAAGGTTCATATTACAACTCTCAGGAAATTCTAATTCTTAGGGAGTTAGTTTAAATAGAATTATAAGCAAGTATGTTCTGGGTTTCCCTGTAACTTCTGTATCACCAATATTCTTTAACCTCAGGTCCATGGACTGCTGACAGGCCACAGCTGTGGAAGGCTGAAACCTTCACAGCTGAGGACTGGGCATTTGCAGATCCTACTGTGCAGGGAAGCACTTTAGAAGGTGTTGGGTGAGAGAGAGCAGGTGATATCCGAGTCAAACCTATGCCATTAAGTCTTGGACTTAAGGAAAACACTAGTTGTCTTCTAGGTAGACTGGAAGGACCAACGTAGGAGAGACACAAGCAAATTTAAAGAACGTGATATCCTGATTGACAGGAAGTAGAACTGGAGGAGAACAGAGGCGATTTTTCCCATCCTTGCATTTTGTCTCACTCTGAAATAGGCCCAGCTGGGACAGACACTCCTCTGCTAGGAGTCCACCGGCCGGCAAACCCTGCGTACACTACAGGGCAGAGGGTGAGATCCTTGCTTGGTCGAAAATTTATGCAATCACAATTCCAAGAATTCCTTCTCCCAAGACTAGAACTTAGGAGATTGGTCTTTAAGTTTTTTTTTTTTCCCACTCCTTCAAACACCAGACTCAAGTGCATTCAAACGAAGTCCTGACATCTTTACATAAAGGTTGACATAAAGGAGAACCTGGCCATTCATAAGACCAGACTCTTTGGGCAAGTAGAGAAGCTTAATCAGATTTTACACTTTCCAGCATGCTAGTTCACAAACCTCTTTCTTTCTCATCACACGTGTCAGCCAATGCTCCCTGGCCTTGGTAGTACTAATAGTAATAGCTACGCTTTTCACTCAAGAATGTCCATGGAAATTGGAATGACAGCACTATGATTAGGGCAGTAACTGTAAATACACTGGAAAGGTATGTGGGTGACAGACTAGTTCTAAATGAGTCGCTGACACCTCTCAATAAACTAACAAACACTGGTATTCTGTGATGTGAACATTCAGATGGGCTCATCTAGAAACTGAATGGGTGGTACAAGTCTACTGATATTGTTTCTGTTTAGAATCAAAATATTTTTTCTCTCCTCCAAGCCTTTCTTACAGTATGACTCTGCTACAAAGGAAATCTATCCGGCTCAGATCAGAGTGAGCAGCATCTCTGGTTCTATGCTGAAACATTTCATGCAAGCAGCTTTTTATTAGAGTAGCAAAATCCTTGGTTCCAGGAGAGATCAGATTCATAGCACATTACCAGGAACAGTGAGAGCTACTAAAAGTGAGCCTAATTTTTAAGTGCAAAAAATCAGAGCTGAGAAAAGGGAGCTGCACTATAAACAAGGATATAGCAGAGTCAGAAATTTAACTAGATCCCCAGAGTCAGTCCTGGACAAATTACAGTACCACCAAATAAAAAGAGGAGACATAAATGGAAGGGTAAGAAAAAAGATATCTGAGAAATTCAAACTAAAAATGATCAGAGGCTGAGAGATCCTGGAAAAGGAAAAGGAAAAGGAAAAGGAGTGGGGCTGGGGACATAGCTCAGTGGTCAGTTACTTGCCTTTCCTATGTATGAATCATCCCTGACAGCCACCCCCACCCCCACACCCCACCCCTGCTCCCTGCAATAGGAGAGAGAGCAAGAAAGAAAGACCTGGTGGTTTGAAACAGCTAATGCCAGGACTGGAGCTACAGTAAAGCAGTAGGGAACTTACCATGCACCTAGTCAACCCAGGTTCAATACCAGCATCCATATGGTCCCCCAAGACCCACCAGGAGTCATCCTGATCACAAAGTCAGGAGTAAACCCCTGAACAAGCTGGGTGTGGCCACAAAACAAAACAAAAACCTAAGGCCATGCTGCTTCCTTTGAAAAAATTGAGTACTGAAAATCTGTATGAAATTCTGCCAAAAAGCTGAGAATTTCTGTGTTTAGTGGAAGCCTTAAAATGTATAGTGACTTAGAAGATTTTAAGCAACTGAAATTTTTACAGACTTAGAATGAAAAGACAAAAATGACACGACATGAGGAAACCTGAAAGCAGAGCGAAGGGCTGGAGTCCATTTGAGAATTAAGTCTTTGTTTACATAAAGCTTTTCTGCTATCAGAAGTTCAAGAAAACTTTTTGGCTTAATACATAATCACCTGCACATTTATTAAAGGATCACTGCAAAGCTTCAGTGTGTAAGGATTTCTGTATGCTCTACTTCCCAAAGCATTCTTGCCTTCCTAAGAAGCAGTGTGCACTGGCAGAAGAAATGTTATTAAAAATACACATACACACAAGAGAAAAGAAACAATCTTTGGTTTCCTTGCCAACTAAGTACTTTGCTGCAAAGAATCCAAAACAAGTTTTCCTATATCTCTGTGTACACAGCTTTGACAAGAGGCTCTGACAGACTGCTGGCCTTCTGAAAGCACCTTTTATTTCTAGAAAAGGAGCATCACCTGGCCCTGGAAACAGACGGCAAATGATTAGAGGTATGAAGAAAGTGGTTTATTACACCAGGATTGTATTTATGTGTATGCGATCACTATACATAAACTTTATGTACTCTATACATAAACTTCTGAACAAATACATTTTTCAAACTTTAAAGTCTCTAGATTTCATCCATCTGAGTTATACAAATTCTGTCTGTGGTCTTCTGTCAATATTTTACTCAATATCATATCTCATTTTGGCATATAAAAATATTTACATTACAACCAACACATATGGTCAATGAATACAAAAATCATTTATAAATGCACATATATTTACAATACAATCCCTGGACAACAGAGATCATTAAAAAAAAAATATTCACAAGAATACAAACCCCTTTGACCTGATTACAGCAGGTCAAGCCTGGGATCCTCGTCAAAGACCTTGAATATCAAAGCCTCAGTCTCAACTGTAAGCTTTAACCACTGCACAATCCCAGGTACACCACAGAGGTCTCCAAAATTATTTTTGTTTCTTGAAAGACAAAACAGAACTGATGTTTCCTTGGGATTGTTCTGGAGAGATGAAGGTGGAGACAGCTCAGTAAACTAGCAAGTTCGGCAGTGCGGGACTCGCCCTGCCAGCTGCTTTCTGAGCCTTCAAGATGTTTATAAACGTGCCCGTTTCGATCAGCTGTTACCTTTCCTCCTCAGGTATAAGCCCAAACAAATGCCTGCCCACTGTGCTGGGGTCAGATGTAACTGAAGACAAAGAGTAAAGCGAATGCTGCCTCTGGGGCTGCTTCTGAACGCTGAGGTAGTAAATGCGAAACGAATTCATTAAGAGTCTTTGCCTAGATTTCATCCTGGAGGGTTTCAGGTACCCTCACTACCATCCTGAATGTTCCGAGTTCTACTGAAATCAAAAGCATGGTCGTGAAATGTGTGGCAGGGCCTGGGGGAAGCCGGACAGTCTGGGTCACTCTCCAGTGTGTCCTCACTTCGCTGCAGAGTGGGAGACTCGAGGCCTGGCTTTGGTGCAAAAGGAGGGGGCGGGCGGCCCAGTTCCTGGCTCATGTTCCATGGAGGTCGTGGCAATGTTTCTGAAGACAAAAGACAAGTATTACCAGCGGCAACTACAAGTTCAGAACTAACTTCCAAAAATTCAGCAGAGAAACAACTTGACTATGGACACTAGAAACAAATGTATACTTATTTGCCATGTTCTTGGCAACCAAAAATAAGAAAATTAACCCTGGACTATGTTCTACTCAATAAACTTCACTAGTTATTTGCCGGAAACCACACTACATGCCATCTACTTTCACCATTATTACTGGTTCTGCTACTACAAATATTTAAAAATAAGACCCCCTGGATATGTGGAAACAGATCTGAACTCAACAGTGTCCACACTGAACTAAAATGTGGAAGAATCACTGATTCAGCAGAGCCATTTCATCTTGATCAAAATGCCTATAAATAAAAAACATGGTTTTAAAAATAAATCATTCCCTAGCTTCTTAAATGTCAGTAATTCTACCAATAACCCAAAGTAGCTCATTTCACTCAGATTATCTGACCTAAAAGTGTGCAAGTCTTGTTTTTTATTTAATGCAGTAAAGAGCTATTTCCCCAATAATCATGAACTGAGTTCTATTAATTTCAATGGTATTGCATCTGTCTTTTTAGAGAGCCAAACATTCTGGACACAAAAGATAATAATAATGGGTGGGAGGGATATGTCACATAGGAGAAAAGATGTGGACTTGCATGGCTGCATCAAGTTTAATCCCCCAGCACTACATATGGTCTCCTGAGCACCACTAAGTGTGGCTGCTAACTCCTGCTCCCCACCGACACAAAGAATAAAATATGTAAAGTTTAGAGCAAGATTTTTTTCTAGCTTTAATATGCATATGAATAACCTAGGGATCCATTAAATTGTAGACTTTGATTCACTAGATCTTGGAGACTTAACAATACTCAAGTAACACTGATGTGGACAAACCATAGCTTGAGTGGCAAGGGGCTAGGGCTGAGCAAAGCATCAAAACAGCCCCTTCCCCCACGGTTTCATCCTAGTCTATGAAATCTTGCTTAGGACCAAAAATAAAATTTAAACTGTTTTGTTAAAAAAAAAATTATATATTTATTAAGCTATCCACAAGTTTAGATTAGAAATATACTGCATTTTTGGCTTAACTTCAAGTACGCTATGTTCTAATTCTTCTAAGACACAGGAAAGTCTACTGAGTGGCTGTAAAATTCATGGGCACTAAATTACAAAGACAAGGGACTAGGACCGAGGAGGCTACACAAAGGGCTGGTGCTATGCTGTGCATGAGGAGCCCAAAGTTCCATCATCACATGGTTACCTGAGCACTGTGCCAGGAGTAGTACAGTGTTTGGGAGGCACCAAACCCTCCCCACCCTGAGAGGAAAAAAAAAAACAAAACCAAAACTCCGTACTTTTTTCGGACCTCTATCCTCTTTAGAAATGCCCTTGAAACTGGCCCTAGTTTACAACAGAGCCTATCTTCAAAGTCCCCTACTCGTTCACAGACTGCTATTAGACCCCTGGGGGAAGCAGAGCCTCATAACCCTGCAGTCATCACTCATTCCTCAACAGTATCTTCACAGCCTACAAGGAGCTACAATCAACTTGCTACCAAGAGTGTTGGATATGCATGCACTAGGGAAATAGAGATGCTTAGTTTAAAAGATTACTTAGATAATCCTGGAGAGGGGATGGGTAGAGGGATTTATGGGATCTTTGTCCCATGGGAAGCAAGCTTCCTGAAAGAAAACAGTCATCTCGGCTACCTCTCTCAGTGAAGATTCCTTTGAGATAAACCCACTTCAGAGACTTCTGCACCTACAGCCACTAATCCCCTTCAATGTATAAAAACTTACCCCGCTTAGATTAGCATTTGTAGGCAATGTATATAAATGTTTGCCCTGCTCTTCTAATCACTGTTGGTTTGAGACAATAACAGGCATGCAATAGAGAATCAGGGCTCTCAGTTCACAAGACTGCCAGTCCCCTGGTCCCACGCTTTTTTTTTATTCCTGTCACTTTTCTTAATCCTTTTATATCTGTGCCCTGCTCCAGACCAGTTCACGGGGGATGATCCCAGGCACACATGCCTCCTCTGTCAATATAAACTGTGCTGCTTCTCCTGAGTCCTGTGGGACAGATGACACCAACCCAAGCTGCTTCCCCACAGGGCTCACAGTAAATACCTCTCAAGTGATGGCAACACTCAGCACTTACCCGAAAGATAATCAAATCAAAGTCTCAGTGAAAATTATCACCACTTATTTCCAAACTACATTCCTAGGGCAAAACATTCAATAGATGAACTCACAGCTGCTTCTCCCAGAAGGAAGCATAAAATGAGGCTCCCATAACAATGCCACCTGACGCCGCGCCAGGCTTTTTTCACTCAGGGAGCCCCAGAGGGGAAGCCAGGTGAGAGCCCTCCCCGCCCCAAGAGAACCAGCTTCAGCAGCCGATCTCCACTACCCAATGGCCGCCACGCTCAGGTCACTTTCCAGAAACATCATAAGACACTTCCTACCCATTTTCCATAATTATCACACCATATTTGATGGGGTTCAGACATTAAACAACAAATCATTGATATATTACACACACCTCTTGGAGAGCCTGGCAAGCTACTGAGAGTATCCCACCCGCACAGGCAGAATCTGGCAAGCTCCCCGTGGCATAGTCGATATGCCAAAAACAGTAACGATAACAGGTCTCATTCCCCTGACCCTGAAAGAGCCTCTAATCGTGAAGAAGGCAAGTAAGGAGAGGCTGCTAAAATCTCAGGACTGGGACAAAGAGAGACATTACTGGCGCCCATTCAAGTAAATCTACAAACAACAAGATGACCGTGATACAGGGCAAAACATTAGTAGACCCATGGGACCTGACTATGTACAGTAGGCAGGGTGCTTGCCTTGCACACAGCTAATCAAGGTTGATCCTCGACATCCCATAAGGGGCCCTGAACTCTTGCCAGAAATGATCTCTGGTACCCCACATGGTTCCTCGAGCCCATGAGAAGTGATCCCTGAGCATTGCCAGGTGTGCCATTCGCCACACCCCCAAAAAATGGAGGGTGGGCCACACCTGGTGGTGCCCAAGGCTTACTCCTGGCTCTGCAATCAGCATCACTCCTAGTGGGCCTGGGGACCATAAGGAAAGCTGGGGAAGCAAACCCCGGTAGCCACATACGAGTCCTACCTGCCGTACTATTGCTCCAGCCCAAAACCAAAAAAAAAAAAATTAGATCCTATATGAAATGTTTCTAAAGTTTTTGTCAGTTCTCTGCATTTTTTAGACAGATAATCTTATTTTTCCCATAAAAGCTTTTCTGATCACACAAAGATTTCTTATAACTCTATAGTCTCAGAATCTGCCTTTGGTTGACCCCAGAGTTAACTCTAGTGAATTATTCTATATACTACTTTCACTTGTTTGCTGCCTGCCCAATGGTATGAATATATACTATACAGCAGGAGGGGAAAGAAATCAGTCAGAAAAAGACAAAACAAAATGATCCTAAATGCCTGTGTCCTTTACCACTGTCCATGTGTGTGGTGGTCACTGCTTTCTTCTCATGTGTCCTCTCTTGGCCAGTGGGAAAAACCAGCGTCTCTCTCTCCACCGAGGACACCAGGCTATCCAGCGCACCAACATCTGGGGGCGGATGTACCAAATACGTTTCTTTGGGCATCTGGACCATGAGGCTTGACAGTGTCTGATCCAGAACATCTTCCTCGGCAACGAAGGTGTATGGACAGTATTCTCGGGTCCGGGAGTAGATGTTGGCATTGTCGTAACAATCTGAGCAGATAACCCGGGTACTAGTACCACCTAAGGGAAAGAACCCAAACATCTTTCAGTTCAGGAACCGGTTTTGCCAGCCATCAGTTTTCACCACTCTCCTCACAGCTGACATTTACTCAGCCCCGCACATAATCAAGGTGTGAAGGTCTTTCGGTGAGTTCCCACTAGTGTGACTCTCTCGATGGCTCCGAGAGGCAGCCTCTCATGTACCTCATTCTACAGAGGGGCTCTATAGCACAGGAAGCCGTTCCTTGACCAAAGACCTATCACCAGAGTGGGTAGTGCAATTTGAAACCAGGCCCTTGGGATCCAGAGCTTATGTTCTCAAATTCTACTTATTAAACCATCTCTGCCCAACCTGGAAGTTCACATTCAGACCAGGGGAGCCAAGAAGGCTGGCACCATGCTACTAGATTGAAACCAGAGGAAAAATAGTTACTCCCACTTCAGTCACAAAAGCTTGCATTACCTTTGGAGCTGAGGGAAAGTCTCAGTGCTGAAAGCCCTGCCCATCAGACTGGTGGGAGGGAGATGGCACTGGTGGACACTGATGAAGGAAGCGATGCTGAAATAATGTAAGCCTGAACCTCAGTCATGAATAACTTAGTGATTTCACAGTAACTGCCTGACAAATGTATATGCATTTGGCAGAAATAAAGCCTTAATAATCTCCCTGAACTGTGAAAACTGAATGGTGAAAAGAAAGAGAAATAAGTATTTATTTTTAATCAACCAATAGGATGTTAGAACTAGAAATGACCTAGAAGTAACTGAGCTTAACACACAAAGCAATGCTATTTCCCATAAATTCCAATAAACAGACACTTTTAAGAATTCCTTTAAAAGTTTGAAATTAAGGGGCCAGAGCGATAGCATAGCAGGTAGGGCATTTGCACTGCATGCGTGTTCAATCTACGTTTGATTCCCAGTATCCCATATGGTCCTCCAAGGACTGCCAGGAGTAATTCCTTAGTGCATGAGCTAGGAGTGACCCAAAAACCAAAAAAATAAAAATTTAAGTTTGAAATGAAGAAATAAGAGTTCTCTCCTCTCTACCTATGCCCCCTCCCCCAAAAGAAGTTTGAAATACACTTCTTTACATGGAAAGCCAAAATAAAACCCAATTTCAAATCAGTTCTGTGGATACTCAGTCTATCATAAAAATGGACTAGGTCTTTCTTTTTTTTGGTAGAGTTCTACTATTTGTTAAAAGGACCTGCAAGAATCTAAAATGAGTAATTTTTAAAATATTACATTATTTAAATGAAATAATTCAACCTCAGACCTTAAACACTTTGTTTGTGGCCACAAGCTGGAAAAAGGAACTAGCAATCAAACCCCATTCTTCCGTCTCCGAGTCTGCCACCCACTGTGTGTAGGGGGAAGTGGGAGAGGAAAAGTGCTGAGATGTGAGGTGCATTTGATGAGAGAACGTTTTCTCTCTCTGAAGTTCTCCAGTGTACATGGAGAACAGCCACACTTCGGTGAGTAACTGTCAGCAAAAGATACTAGGTCTCCGAGACACGTCTATGCGCACGCCTGAAAAGAAGCCCAAGAAGTCTCTAGAACCCTCTCCTTGCAGTGCTGTGCTCTGGGGGGCCTCTGCTGTGCTACTCCCCTGCTGAAGGATGCCATTTCTCTCTCCAGATCAAAGTTTCTTCTCTGTTAAGACTGGTCAAACGGGGGGGGGGGGGGGGGGGGGGGGGGGGGCGCGCGGTACGGCGCCACCCAGCAGGTCAACCTGTACCTACAGGGTGAGTGCATCAGCAGCCTGAGGGGGCCTTCTGGCTTTCCTGATATCCCAAAATTGCTGCTGTACATCTGGCCAAATCCCAACAATTCGGGACCAATTTTCCCCAGAAAGCAAACATTCAAAAGTTAAGTATGTTGGAGTCATACCCACAAACCACCTCTGGCTCAGCTATACAAGCTCATTTATCGGCCTTGCTTCACAGGCCCATAAATAAATCTCAAAAAAGATCAAAAGCATGCCATTTAAGTGCATTAATGGCCATGATTCAGAGACTCTCAAATGAATCTTGGAGAGCAGCTCTCCACAAAGATGTCTCCCCACCCCGCACCAGGCTGATTTCACCAGGGCACCTTGGAGGGGGGCAGGTGTGCCCCTCTGCCTGCCCCAAATGAACCCTGGCAGCTGCAAACCTCCAGAACTCAATCATCACCACGCTCGTGGCCAACCTTCACTAGCTCATACTGAGACCCCATGCATGAGAATGAACCCCTTGAAAAATTCAGGTATGCGGAACCAGTGGCTGCAAACTCCAGGCTTCATGGAGTTGGGAACGGGCGACCTCCTATCATCTCCCTGCCCTTCCAGTTTCCTGGCAGTCATGCCCAAGAACTCCCTGTGGGCGCCACTTAAGCACATTAATAGCCATGATTCAGGGACTCACAAACGAATCTCAGAAGAGCAGCACAACACAGATATGGCTCCATACCCCAAATATTTGAAAATTTTAGAATTCCAGGAGCACTGGGCCACTTTTGCAGCCATGTAACATCTGCCTAAGGGGCAGGCTGGGGTGGTGGTGTGAAGATTCAATGCAAGGTGGTAGGAAGGTGCAACGGTGGTAGGACTGGTATTGAAATATTGAATGTAAATAGTCATTATAAACAATGTTATAAAAATTTTTAACTTTTTTTAAAAAAAGCAATGTGGAGGGGCTGGAGCGGTAACACAGCGGGCAGGGCGTTTGCTTTCCACGAGGCCAACTGGGGTTCAAATCCCAGCATCCCATATGGTCCCCCGAGCACCGCCAGGAGTAATTCCTGAGTGAAGAGCCAGGAGCAACCCCTGTGCAATGCCGGGTGTCACCCAAAAAGCAAAAAACCAAAAAAATAAAAAAAAATAAAAAAAAAAAACCCAAAAAAAAGTAATGTGGAGTTCATGCCTGCTTCAATCAGCTTAATCAGTGGCAGAATAAATAGCAGTACTCCTACATTAAAAAAAAAAAGATTTTAGTCACATTTCATCTTTTGGCATGAATTCCAGAATTCGCTGAGAATCTTACTTTAAAATCCCGCTTCAGGTTAACGGGGAAATCTGTGCATTGACAAAGGACCTTGACAGGAAAGTCTGAAGCTAAGGGCCCTGCATACCATCAGCGCTTTTGTGCAAGTATCCGCTGGCAGGAGGCATGAGCTGCTGGTGACTGCCTGCTTCCGAATTGCTGTAACCCTCCTGCGGCTCAGACAGAGTTCCTTGGGAAGACAAGTAGCTGGGGATGTCTGGAGGCAGATTGAGGTCCTCTGGAAGAGAGACATTGGTAACTTGCAAATGAAGTCCACAACTCTAACCAACAGCCCGAAGACCATTTTGCTAATGCGCTCCACTTTGGTGCTTCAAGCTAGGAGAACGTTCTGAAGTTAAGGCCTTAATGGCTCTTACTATTTCCCCTAAAATAATTTACCAGGTTGTTTTGTTTTGGGGTCACACCCAGTGATGCCCTGGGCTTACTCCTGCCTCTGCACTCAGAAATTATTCCAGGCAGTGCTTGGGGAGCATATGGGATGCTGGGAATCAAACCCAGGTTGGCTACAAGCAATGCAAGCGCCCTACCCACTGTACTATCTTAATGCCATAGCTACTATCTTTTCGTTCCCCAGAATTTTTCTTAAAGCATCATTTTCAAGTATTAGCAAAAGATCCCCAAGTTGAAGTCCAACATCTCATCCCCAGGTGCACTCTGACAATCTTAACTGGCTAGTCCGAGTCTGATGATTTTGGGAGAGGTGTATGTTACACTGATCTCAGTTATGAGTGCACCTCTTTCCCTCTGAAATCACAATGGAAATAAGTTTGGGGCACTGAAGTAAAAAAAATGCATCCAATAATGTGATTTGTTTCTGGCCACACCCCAGCAGTGCTCAGGGGACCAAATGCAGTGCCAGGATCTGAATGCAGGTAAGATGCAGTAAGACAAGTGGCTTACCCACTGTACTATCTCTCCCCTTTAAAGTGTTTTTCAGAAGCATTTTTAAGGCAGTACCTGTAAATTCTTAAAATTAGTGATCAGACAGGGTCAAAGTCAGGCATTTTAACAGAAATACTGTTCCTTCCACCACAAATCAGATGAAGCATCAAAGTTTCTTTCTGTTTTATAGCTTACACGAGCCTTATTAGATAGTCCCAACTCAAGTACAAGCCACAGGAGTCACATGGGTACTCACCTGTGTTGGTGATACTGTACTCTTCATTCTTCCGTCTCATGTGGTAAATAACGATGACCCAGATCAGAGAGGTGCCCACAACGCAACAGACCACCACAATGATGACGATGCCAACAGTGGTCCAGCCATCATCTTCGTGGCCCATGCTGCTTGGAGAAGCATCACAATTGGGGGAAGACAAGACATTCAGGTAAATGTGGCCCCGTTCCGTACCCAAGGTGTTGGACATGATGCAGGTATACTTCCCGGCATCTTCCAGGCCTGTGTCGACAATGATGAGCAGCTGGTTGGCTGCAGCAAAGAAATGGCGTTCCGTTACCAGCAGGGGCCCATCGTCCTTGGTCCAGTTGAGGCGAGGAGCAGGGCTCCCTCCGGCTATGCACTGCAGCACAGCTGTTTCACCACGGGTCACAGTCTTGTCCTCCAAGGGTCTAATAAAGGATGGTGTTTCTGGGGGGGAAAAAAAAAGATGGATTTTTAAAATCTTGTCAAGCAACTATGTACCTTAAATCCAACTGAATAGGACCTCATGATAGGGTAAGAGCTCCCCTGACACAGCAGTACTAAGTGAGGGGAAACATAGGAAAATGAGTATTCAAAAGGCCAAAATCTGCCAAAACAATAACTCATTTTTCTGACGCTACAGGTAAACACCACAAACCAACGAGATTCTTTTAAAACCCATCTAGAAGAGTTGGAAAGATATACAGTGGGTAAACTTGCATATGGGCTAGAGCAATAGCACAGCAGGTAGGGCGTTTGCCTTGCACGCGGTTGACCTGGGTTTCATTCCTCCGCCCCTCTCAGAGAGCCCGGCAAGCTACCGAGAGTATCTCACCCGCACGGCAAAGCCTGGCAAGCTCCCTGTGACGTATTCGATATGTCAAACACAGTAACAACAAGTCTCACAATTTGTTGTGAGACGTTACTGGTGCCCGCTTGAGCAAATCAATGAACAACAGGAGGATAGTGACAGTGCCAATGAAGACTTGCATGCAGCTAACCATGGCCAGATCCCCAGCACCCCACATCGTCTCTATGCCCTCCAGGAGTGATCCCTAGCAAAGAGCCAAGAGAAAGCTCTGAACACAGCTGGTGTGGCCCCAAACCAACCCCTACTATCTCCAACGTGTTTTCCAAAGTGATACACGATACTGTCCCTAGGGGGCGCTGGGATGGCAATGGGAGAGGAAGGCAGCAGCAACAGTGAGTGCACTCCCAGAGATTCTTTTGTTGTGTTACTGAAAGAATGGGTAATTTAAAGAAGGCCCTGTAGGGCTGGAGCAATAGCACAGCGAGTAGGGTGTTTGCCTTGCACACAGCAGACCCAGGTTCGATTCCCAGCATCCCATATGGTCCCCTGGGCACTGCTAGGAGAGATTTCTGAGTGCATGAACCAGGAGTAATTCCTGTGCATCACTGGGTGTGACCCAAAAAAGAAAAAAAAAAAAAAAAAAGAAGGCCCTGAGTGATTTCCTGTCTTAAAAGAGAACAGATGCCAAATAAATGTGGGAATCTCTGCTCTAGGGGAGTAGGGAACTAGAAAACAGAATTCACCTTGGATTTGAGGTCCATTAAAAAATAGATTATTTCATAGATTAAAGTCTAGTAAAGAAAAGTCTTTGGGGGGGAAAGATATACTAGAACACGGGACTAAGAAGAGTATGCTTAAAAGGAAAACAGAAAATCTAACCAGAAGACAGGTTAAAAATTTTTTTGATTAAAATTCTTTTTAAATGGGTGAGGGAGAGAAATACTTAAGAGTTCTCTGTCTAGACATATAAAACAGCCAAGGACTGAAGAGTAGAAAAAACACAATGCAGAAACCATAGAGGAGGGAGGAGCAGAGGGAGAGAGAGAAGGAGAAAGGGATTTGAGAATAATTCTCAATTCATGTGAAATGGTTCCTGATTCTGCCTTCAGCAACACTTCCTAGATTAGTCCTGTTGTGACCCAATGATTATTATAGGTTGAAATAATCCTGCAAAAAATGGTAAAAATAAGTTGACAACGATTAAAGATCACAACTTCAACCACAAATTAGACTTTTCTTGCCACTGCAACTGAGTATCCGAGTATCCGCAGTGAGCACACAAACCCAGCACAGTCAGTATCCCCTGAGTATCCACGGTGAGCACACATACCCAGCAAAGTCAGTATCCCCTGAGTACCCTGCAGTGAGCACACATACCCAGCACAGTCAGTGAGGCGTTGGCAGAGAGGCCTCCAGCTATGTTCTGAGCCATGCAGCTATAGATGCCCATGTCTTCTATTTTCACATTTGCAATGAAAAAGACATCATCCTCAGGCATGACATGCATGCGTCTTTCTCGAGCAGCAGGGAAGTCGGTACCACCATCCTTCTGCCAGGAGATCTGGGGGGCAGGGTGCCCCTCCGCAGCACACTCCAATCTGGCCATTGCACCAGTGCGAATAGTAAGATCCATGGGTGTCTTCAGGAAAGAGGGCATCTCTGGTACAAAAAAGATGGTCACGATAAAATGGGTGGGGCAAAATACACATGTACATACACCCTGCCCTTCATGCGCGTACACACGCACGCACGCACACATAAGCACACTCAAACATACATGAATCTGAAACTGTTGTGCTCATGTTTCACTGCTCCTGAGAATACAGACTCTCAGGATTAAGAGTGAATGCAACTTCAGGGGCTGGAGTGATAGCACAGTGGGTAGGGCGTTTGCCTAGCACGTGGCTGACCCGGGTTCGATTCCCAGCATCCCATATGGTCCCCCAAGCACCGCCAGGAGTAATTCCTGAGTGAAGAGCCAGGAGCAACTCCTGTGCATCACTGGGTGTGACCCAAAAAGAAAGAAAAAAAAAAAAAGAGTGAACGCAACTTCAGAGGTCACTTCTGAGAATACAAATTCTGAGGATTTGGGGTAGTGATGTCTAACTCCCTCCTCTAGAATAAGAGCTACAGCTACGACATCGCCCACACAGGAAAAGGGAAAACAAAAAGCCACAGATCTTTCTGAATGCCTTATTTTAAACTTGATGCTAACTACAACTCCTGACTTAAGAAGCTTAACTCCCTAAATTAATATCTACTAAGCTCTCGAAGTAACTACATGATAAACTAGCCAGCTGGAGTGATAGCACAGTGGTAGGGCGTTCGCCTTACAAGCGGCCAACATGGCCGCCCCGAGTTCAATTCCTCCGCCCCTCTCGGAGAGCCTGGCAAGCTACCGAGAGTATTCGATATGCCAGACACAGTAACAACAAAGTCTCCAATGGAGACGTTACTGGGCCCGCTCGAGCAAATCGACGATCAACAGGAGGGCCTCATAAAAGAATCGAGAAGCAAAGTACACCTTTTAGTTGCACAAGGCCCAAATGCTAGTTAATAAATCTGATGGGCAACAGAAAAATCAAGCTGTCCTGAGGGAGCTTTTTACAGCTACAGTAAAGAGCATTAATTTCAAAAAATTTTTTTGAATATATTTAGACAATGATGATTATCACAGGACTTAGAAAAGTCCCAAATACCTAAATAAGATTCTACTCAATGTTAGAAGTACATTTCTGTCAAGGTCAGGAATAAATTAGTTTTCAGAACAGATATGGTTCTGGAACAAAAATGGAGAATTCTAATTTTTTTTTTTTTGCAAAAGCAAAAATAAAAATAGTCTATCTCTCTGAGCCAGAAAATTCACCTCTCAACCAAAAATTAGGGACAGAAAGTGGGTAAACTGACAATGTCTGATGCATGATCACAACCGAAGACAAAACAGTAAGACCCCTCCCCAAGCCCCAGTCAAATGTCTAGTTTGACCTAATTTTCTGGGGCCAAGTAGTTAAAAAATTAAACGCAGAAAATCCTAACTATAAGCTATAAACCATCATATAATCTCTTACCATTCACAGTCAGCTTGGCTTTATGAGAATAGTTAGAACCAAAGTGATTAGTAACAATGCACTGGTATTTTCCTTCATCGGTGAAATTCACACTGAGAAGATGTAAGACACTCGTATACTCCAGGGCTTCTCCAGCTTTCTGCTGGTACCGAACAAAGTTCTCAATGTCGGCATCATACACGATCTCACTGTCTTTCCGCCACACAGCAGACATGGGAGAGTCGCTGCTGCTGAACGCACTGCAGGTCAGCGTCGTGTTCGTGCCTCTCAGAGCAATGGTGGTGTCAGGGTGCCTGTGAATCTGTGGCTTGAGAAAATCATCTGTGGGGAAACAGGATGGAGTCAAGTCAGTTCTTTCTCTGTGCATCTATAGAGTAATATGCTTGGACGGGGGGCGGGAGCACAAAGGGCTGGAAGCCTGGGATCGATCCCCAACCCTGCAGGGTCCCCCAAGCACTGATGAAGTGGCCCCACCCCCAAGTGTGGCTCAAAACCAAATAAATAAGCAATGTAAAATTCTGTATTGTTTACAAAATGGCAATTAGAGACAATTTCACTACATTCCAATTCTGCTGTGTAAACTGGGAAAGCGGGAGTATGGAAGTGCCAGCACAGCCTGTCCCAGAACCGAGGCTTCCTCTCTGATCCCTTCTGCTGCTCTGTGCTCAGACGGTCCCTCTTCACGGTACTATGGGCCACACACAGAGGTGTTTAGGGGACCAGGCAGTGCTGGAAATCAAGCACAGGCCTACCCTTCAGCAGACAAGGTACCCTCGAACCCTTCGCATTATCTCCCCTACTCCCTAGATTTTTTCTTTTAGAGCAGTTACCCTGGGCCACGCCCTCAATGCTCAGGCTTACTCTAGGCTCTGAATGCAGGGATCACTCCTGCCAGTGTTTGGGGGACTATATGGGGTGCCAGGGGTCAAACCTAGCTTGGCTGCATGCAAGGCAAGCACCATACCCACTGTATTATCTCTCCAGCAAGGCAAGCACTCTATCTGCTTTATTACCTCTCCAGATCCCTGGTATTCTTTCTTTTCCTAAAAAATTCTGCATTGGAATGAATTTGTTTTTTTTACAAAAAAATCCTCATTTTCTCAGTACAGGAATCTTACAACTTGATCATTTCTAAGGTTAACAACCTTTCATTTTATTTATGTAGGTGCAGTAACTTTGCACATCAAAACCTAAATGTTAACACTATTGTAATCACGTAACCTAACTATGATTTAAAAAAAAATTAAACCTTAAAGGAGAAAGGCCTACATAGAAATGCTACTATACTGCAATTAAGACAATGAATTATCAACACAGAGGGGAAAAACTGACACTGAGTCAAAGAATACAAAATTTAAGCATTTTGCAGTACAAGAATACTGGGGTGGGGTACAGTAACATTCTATGTCTTGGATCTTAGTAGTAAAACTACTGTAAATCCTAATACTACAATAAAAAGTAATTTCACAATTCTTGAGAAGTCCAGAGAGAAATGGATAATTGCTACGTTAGTAGGAGAGCATTCTGCGAAGATGGTGCATCTGGCCTACGCAAAACTTTCATAGAGAAATACCCACCACAGACGAAATCCTTCAGATCCACATTCAGGATGCTCTGGCCGGCGAGCCACTCGGGATGTGCACAGCTGACACTCACAGAGTGCTGGAAGTGACTGTCGACCAGCCACTGCAGCAGCCACTTCAGGTGGCAGTCACAGAGCAGACTGCTTGTGTTCAGAATCCTGCAGACAGAGCATAGGCAGAAGGCCCCTTTACCAGTCAAGTGTACTTGCTTCAGCATTTGAGATTTAACTACACAGCTATGCACTGTTCCTTAGCAAGAAATGTTTAAAATGAATTTAGTCTGGGGTATGGTGCTGCCAGCAGGTCAATCTGTACCTGTGAGGCGAGTGCATCAGCAGCCTGATGGTGCCTTCAGACTGCCAGATACCCCAAAACTCTTTGGCCAGACCCCAAAAACTTGGGGCAAACTTTACCAAGAAAGTAAACGGCCAGAAGTTAGGTATGTGGGAGACACACCCACAAACCACCTCTGGCTCAGCTATAGACTTGGAGACAAGGCCTCTCTGGTTCCTGATCGAACTGCTTAATGGCCATGATCCCAGAGACTCAAAAACAAATCTCAAAACCCAATGGCTTTTGGCAGAAATGCGTCCGGTCATGCAGTAGGCTACCGATGCTGGGCCACCCCAAGTGGGAATAGGTTTTGTGCCTTGGCCTGTTCCCCCTGGTGGCCCGATGGCCATCATCCTCCAGAGGCCACTGTACAGTTCAGGTTTGGGCCCTCAGTGATGAGACACGTGGGGCCTCACAGGATGGTGGTGGAGCTGGCTCTTTCCTCCCCATCCTAACGAGACCCCGAGTCGTCGCCCACGAACGACCTCTCTGCCTCCTGATGATCAAGCTACTTAACGGCCATGATCCCAGAGACTCAGAAACCAATCTTGAAACCCAGCGGCTTTTGGCAAAAATGCATGTGGGCCACGCAGCAGGTTACTGTTGCCGGCCCACCCCAGGGGGGAAAGGGTGTTGTCCCTCCACCTGCTCCCCCTAGGCGGCTCGGTGGCCACCATCTTCCAGAGGCCATTGGACAGTGAGGTTTGGGCCCGCGGTGACGAGACATGGGGGCCTCACGGGATGGGGGTGGAGCCGGCCTTTTCCTCCCCGTCACAACGAAACCCTGAGTCGCTGCCCACGAACAGCCTCTCTGGCTCCTGATCAAGCTACTTAACAAGCCATGATCCCAGTCTCAGAAACAAATTTCGAAACCCAGCGGCTTTTGGCGGAAATGCGTGTGGGCCACGCAGTAGGTTACTGTTGCCGGGCCACCCGAGGGGGGAAAGGGTGTTGTCCCTCCGCCTGCTCCCCCTAGGTGGCTCGGTGGCCGCCATCCGCCAGAAGCCATTGGACCGTGAGGTTTGGGCCTGCAGTGACGAGACACGCGGGGCCTCACAGGATGGGAGTGGAGCCGGCCCTTTCCTCCCCGTCCCAATGAGACCACAAGTCACCGCCAACGAACAGCCTCTCTGGCTCCTGATCAAGCTGCTTAACGGCCATGATCCCAGAGACTCAGGAGCAAATCTCGGAACCCAGCAGGTTTTGGCAGAAATCCCTCCAGATTTAAGTGTTAAAATTTCAGAATTTCAAAATCGCACGGCCACTACTGCAGTCACACAACATCATATGTTATTCATGACCAGCAATAGAAAACAAATTGTCTACTGTTGCCTTTTCAGCAGATCTGAGTGTTGGGGCAAAATCTCAAATAATAATGGTGGGTCTGGAGTTGAAATATTGAATGTGATCAAAGTAGAGAGAGAGTAATTTGGAAATCATCTGCCCCACTGGTAGGGGGAGGGTGTGGGATGGGGGTATTCTGGGGTTTTTGGTGGTGGAGAATGGACACTGGTGAAGGTATGGGTGTATGACAGAGACTTAAACCCGAAAGCTCTGTAACTGTTCTCACGGTGATTCAATAAATAAAATTATAAAAAATGGGGGGAAAAAAGGTAGAGTTCATGCAAAATTCAATCAGCCTAATCAGTGGCTGAATAAATAGCAGCACTCCTACATAAAAATAAATAAATAAATAAAATGCATTTAGTCACGGAAAATCAATTTAGACAGTCAACCTCAATTTCTCAAATATGTTAATAGCAAGAAAGGGGCCAGAGCGATAGTACAGCAGGTAGGGTATTTGCCTTGTGCACAGTCAACCCAGGTTCAATCCCCAGAATCCCATTTATGGTCCCCCCAGCAATGCCAGGAGTAAATACTGAGTTCAGAGCCAGGAGTAACCCCTGAGCATTGCCAGGTGTGACCCTACAATAGAAAGCAAGAAAGCAAGCAAGCAAGCAAGCAAGAAAGAGAAAGAAAGAAAGAAAGAAAGAAAGAAAGAAAGAAAGAAAGAAAAGCAGAGGGGAGGGAAAGGGAGGGGAGAGGAGACCAGGGTAAGGGACCTATTTTCAATGAGAAGAGAGGACAGGAACACACTACTATATAATAAAACATGGTGCTCCTCCTTCGGGGCCTCTGCACTAGCTCTTCTCAGCTCAGTCAGCTTTCAAAGGCCAGAACCTGGCTTAAATGTTGCTCTCCTCAAGAAAGCCTTCTCTTACCACTACTATTTCAGCAATCCTACCACTCTCTGTACCTTTGACCCAGTTTTTTTTTTTTTTTGGCTTTTTGGGTCACACCTGGCGATGCACAGGGGTTACTCCTGGCTCTGCACTCACGAATCACTCCTGGCGGTGCTCAGGGGACCATACGGGATGCTGGAAATCGAACCCGGGTTGGCCGCGTGCAAGCCAAACGCCCTACCTGCTGTGCTATTGCTCCAGCCCCCCTTTGACCCAGTTTTATTTTTCTTCAGAGTATTTAGAAACTGATGAGACATTCTGAATCAACTGGCTTACTCTCTTCTTTATTACAAGTTAGTTAGGGTGCTAAGAGAAAAGAATTTTTGTTGTGTCCATTTCTGAGCTTTTAGTGTCTAGACAGTGTCTCACAGGTCCCAGACAATGGCTCACTGGCTTAAAACATCTGCTACCAATCAAAGGTCATACATATTGGGGCTAGAGCTGTACAGTGTGTAGGGCGCTTGCCTTGCATGCAGACAACCTAAGCTTAACCTGCAGCATCCCATATGGTCCTCTGAGCACAGAGCCAGGAACCCCTGAGTATCGGTGGATGTGGCCCCCCAAAAAAGATAAAAAACAAATTGATTTTAAAATTTAAATTTATTTTTTCAAACCCTGGAGCCACCTCATGCACTGAAGTGATAATAACAATCCCAGATCTGTGTGATGTTCCTGGAGAAGGGCTTGTCCAGCACCCCAGAGACTGCCACGATCTGTAACAGACCCCTCTGGGGAGCCTCAGTGAGAAGAGGCCCAGAATATGGCTTGGGGCCCGCAGGGAAGTGCCCGGGCAAGTATGACACCCTGAGCTTGGTGGCTGGTCCTTCCTTGCAGAGACACTTACTGCCTGCCCCATGGGGCTACCCAGCAAGGAGGCCAGGGTGGAGAACAGTATGTTCACAGATGACCATGATCATTTCCTGAACAGTCACTCATTCTATGTAGTCCTCACACAACCCTGAGGAAGGAGCTATTCCCCTTCTGATACAGGAAACCAGGTCTTAAGATAGACAATCTGCCTGAGTCCCACAGTACACAGGGAACAAGGATGTGAACAAAATCAGTTTAAACTCAACAAACTTAAACCAGATCTCAAACTACTTGTGCTCAAGAGTGAGTTTTTAACTTTCCAAACCGTTGTAGGTCAACAATTTCATAAATTACAAAAGTGTCACTATAACATCAAATAGTTCTCAAAGTTTCTAAATGCCTGACCTGTGAATTTTTACCCTCACCTTATCATAACTATTCTGGTCCACAGACCTTCATTTGAATAGCATTCTGGCAAGGCTACAGATTCTCATCCAGCTGAATATTCAAATCTAGAATTTCCATTAGTACCAAAGTTCAAGAGCTGGTATGACTATTCAAGAATAGGGGTGCAGGTGCATGCCTTTCAAGCACAAGAACCCAAGTTCAATTCCTAGCACTACACAGTCCCTCAAGTTCTAGAGGTCCACAAACATGGCTGGGGCATGGAACCATCTCATCCAGTGACTGTCGGGCTGCAAGCAGTGCCCCCAAAACCCAGAGCACTGCTTGAGAAGTGTCCCCCTCCTTTACGCTCCCTTCTCCACCCCGCATCCCTGCCCAATTACCAACATTCAGCTAACAACCCCTCTCCCTGGAAAATCTCTAAATAAAACGTGAGTGGCCTGAGGAAACAGCTCGACAGCTAAGGGCCCCTGACCTGCAAACACAGGGTCTGTAGTTAATCCCTGGTGCCACCTCATTACCTGAGCATCTGAGCTGACAGTGCTACTGGCTGTACTCCCTGGCACCACAAGCCATTTCTGGGTGTGCTCAGCCAGCAATGGGTGAGTACCATAACTAAGACATGACCACCCAAAGGGAACCACACATACGAGAAAACGGTCCATGTACCACAGTGGCCACCGTGTGTGACCCTGGCAAGCCCCCGGAATACTATAGGGGCTCCTGGCGAGCACTAGCATGTGCTCAGACACCACGATGAAAGGCATGAAAGGAGCACAGCCCTCGGGAAGCACAGCCCTGCGCGCATATGAGCCCCAGTGAGAGCAACAACCGAGAGCAGGGGGAAATAAACAGCTAAAATAAAGAATGGATGAGAAGGTATACACTCTTCTATGACAACTTTTTCATGGCCTTTCCCAGTTCCAGTAGTCTAAACCAAAGAACTGACCCCCTTCTTTGATCATCACACAGCACCTCCAAGGGTGCAGGGGTGGGCCTGGGCCCAATTCTACGGCTCAGACACAGCACAGGGGCAATGCATCAGCAGCTCAGGCAGAAAGGAAGGCCTGGAACAGAGCTCTAGGTGCTCCAACCCGCTGGGCTATCTTTAAATCACACCCAGCCACTAGAGTGATGAGTCCTAACACTTTCTTTTTCCTCCCTGTCTGCGCTGGGAAATATGTGGACCCCATTCATCATACGTGAAGCACAATAAGCAGGGATAATGATCTGACTTGTGACTTGAGTTACTTACAATTCTGTCAAGTGAGTCTGAGAAAAAGCATTTTCTTGGATAGACATTATAGCATTGTTGTTCAAATCTCTGAAATGAAGAGAAATAACAGTACCAGTCATCATTTCTATAATTAAGTTATGTAAACACTTTAAATGGTCATGAAAACCTCTACTAAATAGCCAAGATTATTTATATGCTGAGCAAAATGGATGCAAAATACTTACAGATGCTCAAGGGATTCAAGGCCAATGAATGCTTTCTTTGTAATTGACTTAATCTGATTTCCTTGTAAGTTTCTGAAACACAAACAAGGTCTTTCTAATAAGGGTCCCCAGTAAAATTAAACTTAAACATTTACCTATATAAGAAGTGAAAATTAGCTTAATGTGCATTTTTTGAGAGCTTCAAAGCTTTATTATTAACCAATGTAAATAACAGAACAGAGGCTTCTATTAAAATGCTGGCACTCAACAGGGACCTGACAACTACCACCCTCGGATACACTGGGAGTTTCTATGTGCAAAAATTGTATTCTCTTCCAAGTTTCTCCCTTGCAAAAGAGTATCAGGTCTACAAAAATCTGACAAAAACTTTGGGGAAATTTTCATGGGAGCAGATATAAATTCTTAGTTAAGAGAACCCATTCTTGCTAGATACATATCCATAAATCTCACAAGAATAGATAGATTACTGATCCAACTCTGGTTTCTCAGTGCATTTCCTTCCCGTAAATATAAATTCTGGTTCCAGAAATAACTTAAGTACACCACCTCACATAAAAAAAAAAAAAAAGAAACCCTACAAATTAAAAACCAAAGGAAAAAATGGTAATAATATTTCATCATTTAGTGAAAACAGAAGGCTTAGACTTTCCAGTCACTGTTAAATAGACATAATCCAGGCCCATTTACAATGGATTCATGAAAATAAACTCTCGTAGATATGCAAGTATTATAAATACATACAATTTAGTGAGGCTTGTGAGTCCAGCAAAGGCTTCACTAGCATCTTCTATAGCCCAAGAAATTTCATTGTTTCTTAAGTTTCTACAAAAATGACCAGAAAAGAGAGGTTAGGTTAGTCACATCACCACTACACCACTGGCAGCATCTGGGATGGCTGTACACATGCCGATCCTGACCCTTGCTTTATCTATCTCTTGGCATTTTTCATTTCTTGTAGTGCCGAGAAGTGAACCCAGGACCTCACTCTTCTTTTAAGAACAGCAATAAACATGAAAGAACTGAATCTCATAAGCTAGTAACTAATCTGACTTGATAAATAAAGCTACTTCCTAGAAGTATTCATTTTCCTCTAGTAAATAAACTCTATGTGTGCTAGCATATTAGAAAGTATAGTCATGGTCCCGTTTAAAAAAAAAAAAGCAGAAGATGCAATAGACAAGGCTTAGAAATCTGATTTCAGATTAATGGGATTTCTGGGTGACCCAAGCCTTCCCCGGGGCCCTTAAACTTGAAAGGACTGACAAACAGTAACTAACATCAATACAGATTTTGACAGCTCTGCTGTGACTGAACATATCCCCCAGAGGTGAGAATGATATGCCCAAGCGATCATAGCATCACTCTGTTTTCTTTAAAAGGAAAAGTATAGATCTTTTAAAATCCTTTGATCCATTCTCAGAGGAAATGCAACTGCACCACATCATGCCCTGATGGAAAAATATCGGTGGAAGAAATTCAATCATTTCTGCTTCCGTAAGTCGTCTCATAAAACTTTATGTGCTATAAAACATGCAAAGTTGTATGATTAACAGGACACTGGAAATCATTCTTCCGGCCCAGTTCTTCTTACGTGAAGCGTAAAACTAAAAAAGCTCATTTTATTTTACTGGGCAATAAACATTCTAACACTCAACAGCTCAACTCTTGAGATCACTGCCCCGCCTCTACAGCACAGTATACACGGAAGTCACTTACCACGTCCAGGAGGAAGTGCTTCTACTCTGATAAGAGCAACGGGCTAAAGAGTCAGAATTTCTCATATCAGTTCCTAACTCTGCCTTCACTGTCTCTGTGGCATTAGGCAAGCATTTACTTTTGCAATAACTTTCCTGGCTGAAGCATTAAAATAATCAGTCAGTTACTAAAAAGCCTATTTACCATCCCTTGACTTGCCAAAAGGTTGCAGCCGAAGTAAATTCTGAGCAGGCACTAAGTCCATTTTACCTGTGATATTGTAGAAAGTGAGGAGGGGGTCACTTCTGGTTTTCCAAGACTAAATCTGAAGATTGCCTCATTATTACAACAATATTTGAAACCACACCAACACTGCATTTATATGAGCCTTCTCTGAACTGCCAAGCTCACATTCTCATTGCCCATTTGGCTGCAGGTCCCAGAGCTCTTCTCTGAGACCATACACCAACTCTGACCCAGATGAGCAGAGTGTGTCTTCTACTAGAAACATTACCAATCTGTAATTTCTACTAATATCATTCTTTTTCCTTATTCTGAACTATGTTTGACATTACTCATTAAAATACTTTTATACTTTTTCATCCAATAAAATCATGCTCCATGATTAGGGTAAACATTCCATTTAAAGAACTACAGATGTCTGTTAAAACTGTCTATGGAATCATCTAATCCTAGGTCCTCCTGTCCCTGACTGCAGAGATGGAGAAAATACTCCCAGGAAAGAAGTGTGTCCCTTCACCTGAAATAAGTAGGGGGAAATGTTCATAAGCTTTACCATCAAACTTACTAAAACTATGTGATGTTTTGTTTTGGGCACAGCAGTGGTACTTAGTAGTTATTCCTGGCTCTGTGCTTAGGGCAAGGGCGGGGGAGGGGGGGCAGGGGTGTTGCTTTCAGTGGGGCTTAGAAGATCACAAGGTGCTGGAACCAAAGTGGGGAGGGCCACATGCAAAGCAAGTGCTTAACCCCCTGAACTATCTCTCCAGCTCCCAAACTATGTGACTTTACTAATTTATTAACTTATTTGGTTTTCACACCCAACAGTGCTCAGGGTTTACTCCTGACTCTGTGCTCAAAGATCACCCCTGACAGTGCTCAGGACACCATATGGAATGCAGGGATGGAACCCAGGTTCGCCGTGAACAAGGCCAAGTGATCTACCCATTTGTACTGTCTCTGCAGCCCCCACAAATTTAAACAAAATAATTTTAATTTCTTTGAACCTCAGCCTCTCAATGCAGGAAGGTGCAGTAAATAACATAGTATCAAAAACACCAGGCACATGAAAGAGTATACACATTAAGCTTTGCTTTTGGTTGGTGGGGGGCATACCCAAGTAGCATTCAAGGGCTCTTCCTGGCATGACGCCTGGAAGTCGCTCCCAGCACTGCCTGGGGAACCATGTAGTATCAAACCTAAATTTTTGGCTAGCAAAATATGCACTCAAACTCCCTCTCTGGCCCCAGGTAATAAGAATTTTTTCTGTCCAAAATTATGTAATAAATTATTAACAGTTAATATGTCTCCTGAGGTCTCCTGCTGGAGTCACTGCCATTACACGTCCTCCACGGCCTTCTGGATGAGAGGTGGCTGTTGTGGTACACTGTTCTAGTCAGAGAAACAAGAAAATGTGCATGTGTACGTGCGTAGGAAGCCAGAGATGTAGGTACAGGGGGCTAGGGATCAAACTGGACCTCACGCATGCCTGGTATGTACTCTACCACTGAGCCACATCCTCAAAATGTGTATTTTTGAGACTTGCTCTTTTAAGCCCATGAACACGGATTTTCTCCCTTGAACACGGATTTTCAAAAAATATTTTGTCTGTTTTTGTGCCTGTCTTTTACTACTCTAGAGAAGCCTGTGTTCTCTCTCAAACATGTACTACTACTCCCTTTCTCTCCCCTCACATCTAAGTTTCAATAAAAACTTTCTTGCTTCACACAAAAAAAAAGTGTACATTTGAGACTAACAATTGTGTTCAAAAAAAGATGTTTTGCTGTTTAACTCAGAATTCAAGTACTAGCTGAAGTGGCTAGAAATATGGGGATAAAAACAAGGACATAAGAAACAAAGTAATGACATAGGTAAGTTTGTAGGGTTTTGTGTTATGTTTTATTGCTTTAAAAAATAATAAACTATACTTACAACGTCTGAAGATTGGAAAGAAACCTAAATACACCATCAGCAATGTGAGTGATTCTGTTATCCCCTAAATTCAACCTCTCCAGTAAACTCAGACCCACAAAGGCAGATTCATCTAGGCGGGTCAACTGGTTATAAGACAAATCACTAAAAACAGAGAACAAGAAAAGTGAAAAATTATTTTAGTTTAACTTCCATATTCTTTGTTTCTTGGGGTTTTCTTTTGATTTGGGGGACAAAACTGATAGGGCTCATGTGTTCATGTTCTGGGGACCACGTAACACCAGGGATCAAACCCAGGCCAGCTATATGCAAAGTGAGCACTCAGGGCACTGAGCTAACTCTAAGCCCTAACAGAGAAAGTTCACATTCTTATTCTAGCTACATGATACATGCGGAGCATCCAACATACTTATAGTAGAGGGATGTTAGAGCTCAGGGATCAAACCAAGGTCTGCCATAAGCAAGGCAAGTTAAACCCTGTACTCTCTCAGGCCCCAACATTGGCACTTTTGACAGGACCTGGGAATGGTTCATTCTAACATGCTCTGCTCTCACAGCTTCGACTGAAATTCCAGCCACACTTACAGTTCTGATAGTCTTTGGCAGAACTCCCATGCATCAGGGCTGATTCTTTCAACTGCATTCTGGCTCACATAGAGTTGCTGTAACATTCGCAAACCATACAGCCACCCCTTGTTCACTTCTGTAAGGTTATTATGTTCTAATTCTCTGAGAATTAGAGAAAAGAGAAAATATGTTTCAAAACAAGGCACTGCAATGAAGCGATTCCAAAAATCCTGATTATGTCTTGCTCAAAGCAGCATCTATCTCTGCTCAACCCAAGTAAGCCAACAAATTCTGTTCAATAAATGTTTATATCTGACTTAAAATGTAGTGCCTTGAAGCTGTTATGACTGTTCAAAACAGGAGACCAAATAAAAATCCCAGAGTTATGCTATATCACTTCTACATAAATTCTGATACTTCTCACCAGTCCAAACATTAAGGAAATATGAACTTTCTACGTAAAATGTTTTAAAAAGTATAACCAAAATACCATTTAATAAAGCTTAAAGAGTTTTCTGTACAATTATTTCACATCAGAAAACAGAAAAAGAACTAGTGCTCCTCTGAATAATTAAAGCAGTAATTAAACCTAATTGTCTGGCACTGAAGCGTACGCATCACACACTTTTCCTACTGATTTTTACTGTAGTTTCTAGTACTTACAATTCTTCCATGTTGTCCAACCCAAAAAAAGCTCCATCCTTAAGCTGGCTTATTCCATTCCGTTGCATTTTCAAAGATTTTAAGGAGTCAAGTCCTTGGAATGTCAGACCTTCAACAACTTTAATCCTGTTTCTTTTCAGTTCCCTTAACAAAAAGTTTTATGGTTAGTAATGTTTGTTGATTTGCTTCAATAAAATTTTAAAAGACACTGTAAGTAAAACAGAAGATCTCATTATCAAATTAGTCACTCACAAGAACTGAAGGTGAGGTAGCTTGAAGATCTTGGGTGGAATCATGCTAATTCTATTCCGGTTCAACTTGACCACTAACAAGGAACTTGATAAATTATCAAAGCAACCAGGTTCTAAGATGGTTATCCTATTATTACTCAAATTTCTAAAAAAGAAAAAGTAAAATATATGAAGTCACAAATCATGTAACTGCTCTTCATTCGACTGTATCATGAGGATAGGGCCAGAGAGACAGTGTAGCAGACGGTGCACTTATCCTGCTCTGACCTGGGTTAGACCCCTGGCACTCCTAGAAGTAAGTCCTGAACACCGTGCTAGAAGTCCTGAACAGAGCTGGGTATAGACCAAAACAAAACAAAACAACTAGAGTACCTACTTTATTTGGATCATGAAACTAAGTGGAAATGCGTTTTATAAAAACATACACTGTGTATTTTATATATATGAGCATATATATGTGCATATGCTAATGATCATAATTATTACATAGGGCAAGGTCACTCAAAAATCACAATAACAGAATGAGAGAGATAGTATGGCAGGCAGGGTTCTTGCTCTGCACACAGCTAACCCAGGTTCAATCCCTGGAATCCCATATGGTTTCCCAAATCCCTACCAGGAGTGACCCCTCCCTCCCCCAAGCACAGAGCCAAGAGTAAGCCCCGAGCACCGCTGAGTATAAGCACTGTAGCACTGTGCTCCCATTGTTCATCGATTTGCTCAAGCAGGCACTAGTAACGTTTTCATTGTGAGACTTGTTATTACTGTTTTTGGCATATCAAATATGTCACAGATAGCTTGCCAGGCTTTGCCGTGCAGGCGGGATACTCTTGGTAGCTTGCCGGGTTCTCTAAGAGGGGCGAAAAAAAAAATCGAACCCAGGTCGGTTGCGTGTAAGGCAAACGCCCTAACCGCTGTGCTATCACTACCAGCCCACTGGGTATAGACTGTCACTGTCACTGTCCTCCCGTTATTCATCATTTGCTCGAGCGGGCCCAGTAACATTGTGAGACTTGTTACTGCGTTTGGCATAGCGAATACATCCTGGGTAGCTTGCCAGGCTTTGCCGTGCGGGCGAGATACTCTCGATAGCTTGCTGGACTCTGCAAGAGGGGCGGAAAAATCGAACCTGGGTTGGTTGCAAGCAAGGCAAACGCCCTACCCGCTGTGCTATCGCTCTAGCCCACTGGGTATAGACAATAAATAAATAAATAAAATAACATGGATTACTGAATATAAAGCATGTATTTAAAGTAAATTTGGTTTAAACTCTATGTTACTCACAGGTATTTAAGCTGCATTCGAGGAAATGAAGATGTCTTGATTTCTGATATTATATTTGTACTGAGGTCTAAACTCTCAAGAGCAGTATAAAATTGGAACGCCTCTGCATTTATTTCTGAAATTGTATTATGAACTCTACAAAAGAAAGATTATATTGAAGCACAATTCCCAGTGACCTATCCCAGGACACAAGTACATTAAATAATTAGGATCAACAATAAAGGCTACATCAATACAGAACTACGTAACCTTATTATTTAAATAAATCTTAACATCATTATTTACTTACAATGACAGTTGAGTAATATTAAGGGTTGCTTCTCCAAAATACGGAATTTCTGTCAGCTCGTTGTGATTCATTTTTCTAGATAGAGAAAACAGATTTCATGGTTCAATTGGGGGAAATGAGAGAGAGTTAGTCCTGAAGTTCTGACTTCTGTCTAATACATATTCCTAAAAGATGTCAAATTTTTTAAAAATACCTATGATTTAGAATGGGCTGTAGCGATAGCACAGTGGGTAGGGCGTTCGCCTTACAAGCGGCCAACATGGCCGACCCGAGTTCGATTCCTCCGCCCCTCTCGGAGAGCCCGGCAAGCTACTGAGAGTATTCGATATGCCAGACACAGTAACAACAAAGTCTCCAATGGAGATGTTACTGGGCCCGCTCGAGCAAATCGACGATCAACGGGAGGGCCTTTACCTTTACCTTTATGATTTAGAATGAATTAAACAAAGGTACAAGATGGCTTAATTACAAATGTTTTTCATAGCTTGTATCTTCAACTGTTACCATTAGAAATATTAATAAGCATTTTTCACATTTGTTCATTTCAGTGGGGGAACCACACCTGGCTGTGCGCAGTGCTTATTCCCAGCTTTATACTCAGGAATCACCCTTGGCAGTGCTCAGGAGAAAACAGTCTCAGCCTTAGCTCCTGTACTATCTCTCTGGCCCACATTAAATATTTTTAATCCCAACAAGACCCTGTGAAAAGTTTTATTTACAAGACCTAATACAAATTCTTCTCAAACAAAGAACAATCCAACCAGATCTTTACATGTATGTTTATAATAAAACATTAGTGAATCAAGTTATATATATTATTCAAAGTTAGGGAGGGTTGCTTCAGACCACATATTAAAATTAATCTGCCCATTCAGAGATTAAACCTATAATTAATTTTATAGCACAGATCTTTTTAAAGCAAACTGTCTCTAATGTTTCAGTAAGCAAATCTAACACAACATGTTTCAATAACCTGGTTTCAATCATCAGATAGCACTGTAGCACTGTCCTCCCGTTGCTCATCAATTTGCTCACGCGGGCACCAGTAACATCTCACAACAAATTGTGAGACTCGTTACTGTTTTTGGCATATCAAAGCATATCAAAAACGTCAGGGGTAGCTTGCCAGGCTTTGCCATGCAGGCGAGATACTCTTGGTAGCTTGTTGGGCTCTCCGAGAGGGGCAGAGGAATCAAACCTGGGTCGGCCACATGCAAGGCAAGCGCCCTACCTGCTGTGCTATCGCTCCAGCCCCAATCATCAGATAACTACAGCAAAATAAAATCCAGAATAGCAATTGTAAGTAACAGGCCTCCAAGACACCAACCCAAAGGAATAAAGAACAGGCAATGAAAGGTTCTGCCAATGCAGCCTCGTCAGGCTTTTTCTCAGGGCCTGCTCTCCACTAATGAGGGCAATGGTTCTGATATCAAAAGCACTCAATATGGGAAAGGAAAGGAGAGAATGCAGGGACAATGACAGGACAAAAAAATTACCAAGCTAGCTAGAAATGAAAAACAGGGAGGAAATTTGAGGACCTTAGAGGGTGTTTAACATAACGACAAACAGGCCTAGAATATCTCAATAGTTATACATCTGCACCATCATGATATGACATTAACGAAGAAAAACTTCATTTTTTTCTACTTCAGTTAAGTAGAAAATTTAATTACAGTGATTCATTTCAGATGCTGGCTAAAACTTTGGCAAAACCAAACAAATAAACAATGATTCTGAAGTGGGGAGAGATCTTAATTTTGGTCCCAGAAAGTATATTTCTACACAGTTTGCTTAAAAGCACTAACCCAATGGGAAAATTCCTTGATTCTGTGATAGGAACAATATTAAAGAGTTAAGATAATTTTGGGGGTTTTCTTTGGGGGGAGAGGGGTGGCTTGGACCACATCCAGCAGTGCTCAGGGCTTACTCCTAGCTCTGTGTTCAGGGATCATTCCTGGCAGTCTCAGTGGACCATACAGGGTGCCAGGAATCAAATCACGGATAGTTATAAGGAAAACACTCTGGCAAGCAAGAGATAAGATTTTTAAGCAATTAAAATAACTTAAAACTTTACCTTCCATTTTTAATCATATTCTTAAAAAATTAAGCATAAAAAATAATGTTCTCATTCATACTTCATTGAAATCACTTTTAGAAATATAACTTTAAGTAAATAAAAAGAACTTACACTTCTTGTAACGTCTGAGATTCCAAGCTGATGTTCCAATAAGACAACCAGTTATAACTCAAATCCCTAAAGAAGAAGAAAATACCATTCTGAGTGCAGTGTTAGGAAACAGACTTAAAAAAGGAAAATATAAAAACTAACCTAAAAAAGGAATACCATAAACCCTATCAAATACAATTTACGGCATAGACCAAAAAAAGTTTTTAAAAGATGAGTAAACACTATTTGCAGAGGACATGAGACTGTACTTAGAAAATCCTAAAATCTCTACAAAAAAGCTCCTAAAAACAATAAATTTGTATAACAGAGTGGCAGGTTACGAAAACAAAACCCAAAAGTTCATGACTTTCCTATATGCAAATAATGAAGGAGAAAAAGAGGTATTGTTAAAAATCCTGTTCCTCAAAACTTAACTACCTCAGAATCAGCTTAATTAAAGAGGAAAAGGACTAGGACCAAGAAAACTACAAAATGCTACTTCAAGAAATAAAAGAGGACACAAGGAAATAGAGACGCATCCCCTGCTCATGGATTGGGTGAATTAACATGGTCAAAATAGCAGTACTCTCCCAAAGCATTATACAGATTCAACACAATCCCTATAAGGATAAAATTTTTAAAGAACTAGATCCCTCCTGAAATTCATACAGAACAGTAACCCCTCAACAAATAGCTAAAGCAATCCTTGGGAAAAAGAAGAAGGGGGGCATAACCTTCCCCAACTCCAAACTGTACTATGAAGCAAAGCAATATTAATTAAAACAACATGATATTGGAAGAAAGACAGTCCTGCAAACCAATGGAATAGAGCTGAATATGCTGGCACACACTCTCATATATGTGATCAGTTAATCTTTGATAAAGGAGCAAGAAATACGAAGCAGAGCGACGAAAGCCTCTTCAATAAGTGGAGCAAGAAAAACCTCTTCAACAAGTGGAGCTGGGAAAACTGGACAGCTACATGCAAAACATCAAAAAAATGAACTCAAACCTCTAACACAAGGCACAAAAGTCAAATAAAAATGGATTAAAGACCTCAATATCAGACCTGACTCCATAAGATGCATGGAAGAAAATGTAGGCAGAACTTTCATTGACACTGAAATTAATGGCATCTTCAAAGATGCAACACCACTGGCCAAGAAAATGGAAGCAACGATAAAAACAAATGGGACTACATTAAACTAAGAAGTTCTGCATCTCGACCACAACACCCAAAAGGAGAGAGAGAACACAGGGGATTGCCCTGCCACAGAGGCAGGGGGGATGGGGGGATGGGGGTGGGAGGGATATTATCCATGGTGGTGGAAAATGGGCACTGGTGGAGGGATGGGTATCTGATCATTGTATAATTGAAACCAAAGCACAAAAAATTGTAAATCTACAACTTTAAAAAAAATAAAATAAAATAAAGGGGAAAAAAAAAAAAAAAAGAAGTTCTGCATCTCAAAAGAGTGACCAAGATAGGATGACAGTCCACAGAATGAGAAATATTATTTACTCAATACCCATCTGACAAGGGGTTAATATCCAAGATATATAAGGCACTGGCAAAACATCACAAGAAAACAAAAAATCCAACCCTATCAAAAATGGGGAGAAGAAATGAACAGAAACCTCCTCAAAGAAGAAATACAAATGGCCAAAAGGCACAAGAAAAAACATTCTATATCACTAATAATCAGGGATATGCAAATCAACACAACAATGAGGTTTCACACCAGAGACTGACACACATCCAAAAGAACAAGAACAACCAGTGCTGGCATGGATGTGGGGAGAAAGGAAATCTCATTCATTGTTGGTGGAAATGTTGACTTGTCCAGTCTTTTTGGAAAACAATATGGTCACTCCTCAGAAAAATTAGAAATTGAGCTTCCATATGATCCAGCAATAGCACTTCTAGAAATATACTCTGGGAGCTCAAAATCACAGCAGAAATGCCATCTGCACCTCTATATTCATTGTCGTACTATTCACAATAGCCAGAAACTAGAAACAATCTGAACGCCTGAAAACAGATGACTGGATATAGAAACTAAGGTAGATCTACACAATGGAATACTAAGTGGTCACCAGGTAAAACGAAGTTATGAAATTTGCTTACAAATGGATGGATATGGAGAATGAAATGAATCATGCTGAATTAAATGAAACAAAAAGGAGAGAGACAGACACAGAGTGACTGCACTCATCTGCGGGATATATATATATTTTTTAAAGTAATATGAAACTAACAGCCATGGTCAACTGAAACAGGTCCACAGATGGTAGTTTGCCACAAAGGTGGGGGGAGGTGGGAGGAGAAAGGCAATTAGGCAATTAGGAGAGAGAAGGAAGGGACCACTGTAACAATGATAGCTGGAAATCATCACTGGACAAGAACTGAGTGCTGAAAGTAGGTAAAGGGAAATGCATAATAATCTGTCAGTACCTGTTTTGCAAGCCATAATGCCCAGAAAGAAGGAAGGAGGGAGGAAGAAAGAGAGAGAGAATGGGAGGGAGGGATGGAAGGAGGTAGGGAGAGGAAAGAAAAAGAGGGGAGGAAGTGCCTGCCATTGAAGTATGGTGGGACAGTGTGAGGGATGGGGTGGTAGTGGGAGGGAAACTAGGGACATTGGTGGTAGGAAACGCACACTGGTGAAGGAATGGGTATTGGAACATTCTATGACTGAAACCCAATGATAAACAACTTTCTAACTGTGTATCTCATAGTGATTCAATTAAAAAAAATTTAAAGTAAAAAATTTTGTTAATTTCAAAATAGCTATTTTACTGTTCCATTTGAGACGTCTTTCAATGCATACACATTCACTGGGCTCAATCAGCAAAGTCCAAAAGGTTTCCCAACTGTGTCCATTTAGTCAATTTCTCCCTCCAATAACAACAAAGGAAATGAAATCACTTCCTAAGCACCCCTCCCATAGTTTTATACAGTAAATTTTTAACAGTTTTTATAGATCATTCCATAGCAAGATTATAAAGAGTCTCTTCAATCCATTCAGTGATATATTCCATACACTTTCAAAATAAGTACTTTTAAATATAACCAACATACACTATATTACACTGTGTAGCACTGCACTGTCCTCCCATTGTTCATTGATTTGCTCGAGCAGGCATCAGTAACGTCTCCACTGTGAGACTTGTTACTGTTTTTGGCATATCAAATATGCCTCGGGGAGCTTGTCAGGTTCTGCTGTGCAAACAGTGCAAGCGGGATGCTCTCGGTAGCTTGCCAGGCTCTCCAAGAGGGATGGAGGAATCGAACCAGGGTCAGTGGCATGCAAGGCAAATGCCCTACCCACTATGCTATTCCTCCATCCCTCTCAGAGCCGAGCAAGCTACTGAGAGTATATAACACTATGAATGTGAATTTGAATTTATAATTTAAAATTTCAAAATTCAAGACTGTAAGAATCATTGTTTTGTGTGGGTTTTTTGGCTTTTTGGGTCACATCCAGCGATGCACAGGGGTTACTCCTAGCTCATGCATTCAGGAAGTACTCCTGGCAGTGCTCAGGGGACCATATGGGGTGCTGGGAATCGAACCTGGGTCAGCAGCATACAAGGCAAGCACCCTACCCACTGTGCTATGGCTCCAGCCCCGAGACTGTGAAAATCATTATTAGAACTTGACAGCAACCTGGCTTCAGGGAAGGAAATATGCTGTAGTTGATGATGATGGTGGGGTGGGGCTTAACCCTTAAGTACAAAGACACGATTCTTTTCATTTTCTATGTTTTAACTTCCTATGTCTAACACAACTTAATGAAGCTAAATACATTTTTTTTTTGGTTTGGGGGCCACACCCAGTGTTGCTAAAGGCTTACTCCTGGCTCTGTACTCAGGAATCACTCCTGGTGGGACTCAGGAGACCAAAGGAGGTACCCAGGATCAACCCATCAGCAGCGCGCGAGGCAAGCACCCTACCTGCTGTACTATAGCTTCAGCCCCTGAAGCAAATAGTTTTCTATAGCCTTCTCTTTTCTAGCACAGAAAGAGGCCAAGATGACTTATTTGTCAATCCAAAACCACACAGGTAATAAGGAAGCCATGAATTTGAAATTCCATCTCACTTCTAGCAAGGAGTTTATTGTCTACAGTAGGGATCTCACTGAAATTAGCCAGGAGTCTAAATATTTAAATAGGCTAAAAAACATTCACTTTGATGCTTCCTGGCATCTTTACAAGGGTGAGGTGGAATCCAGCCCACACAAACTGTCTACCAAAAGATATAAATCACAAAATGGCCAGCAATAGGGAGGGACTCACCACCACAACACTACCAATGACTTCATCTTGCAGCACCACACTGCTCAGTGACAGGTGCATGAGGACTTTCAAGATGTCTCAAGCACAACTGAACAATGTGTTCTCAGCTAGATTCTCTGTTCATCTGTATAATCTTTAAATATTTGTTTATATAGTATAACTAAATGAGGGTAAAAATCAATTTTCCCCAACTGTCTAATTATATTTTTTAATTTAAATTTATTTATTTATTTATTTATTTATTTTTTAATAGTGAGGCACCATGAGGTACAGTTGTAGACTTACACATTTTTGTGCTTGGGTTTCAATTATACAATGATCAAACACCCATCCCTCCACCAGTGCGCATTTCCCACCACCTCAGATCCCAGCATCCCCTCCCCCCCCAGCCCCTATCCCACCCTGCCTCTGTGGCAGGGCATTTCCCTCTCTCTCTCCTTTTGAGTGCCATGGTCAGCAAAAGAGGCACTGAGTGGCAATCATGCTTGGTCGACAGTCTACCCTCAGCATGCTCTCCCATCATGGGCGGATCCTCCCAACACCCTTCATTTGGTGTTCCCTTCTCTTTCTGAGCTCCCCCTTCCCCTAACATGTGTGGTTGTCCTCCGGGTCATTGAGTAAAATTTCTGGTACTAATCTCTGCCATACTTGGGTGTTAGTTTCCTATTTTGTTACTTTATGTTCCCCAGATGAATGCAATCTTTCTATGTCTATCCCTTTCTTTCTGAGTCATTTCGCTTAACATGATACTTTCCATGTAGTACCACTTGTATGTAAACTTCATGACTTCG